AGCAAACAAATACCTTGTTGAGCCCGACCCACTCGTGTTTCGACGGGTGTCAAACAAACGGCTTGCTTCGTGTACCACCATTCGTCGAAATAAATATGGAGTACTGCATTACTTTGGACCTGGTCCAGCAGCTTGCTCGTGCCTTCATCCTTCCTTTCCGTCTCTCCATGCGGAAGACTCACTCGACGCTGACGATCACATATCGATGAGTACCCCGTGCAGAGTCCATCGATGGGTGACGCACTGACCGTCTCGAGACACTTGAATCGAGTCGGATCAGTGCGAGAAAAAAGGTGGGAGTCCGTGAATCGTGAATCGAGAGCCGAGAACGTTTGTTTGCCTTTGCGCTCGCGCGGTAGGCGTGGACAGGGTGTGCACGTGATCGGTCAATCGTACACGTGATGTTCGATTTGGTGCGCACAGACACCTCTTCAGCGCACGCGCCCTCCTGAAGGGCGAGAAGAATAAGGAGCCATCTATGATTACGTGCGCAAACGAAGGCATTCGCGATTGCGAGCACAAACAGGTCTAACTCTTGAGCTGCTCACCATCCCCATCATCTCTGATCAGCTAATTCGAACTTTCACGACGTGCTTCACGAAGAGTTCAGGTCTACTCAGCTTCATCTGCGCTGACCTGCTCTCACGCCCCTTCCAGCGCCAGTGCTGTCGCCTACAATCATGCCTTCCAACTCGCAGTATCGGCCATTGACGCGAAAGCCGGGAGGAGCTGGCGGTCCGGCTGCGCCCGCAGCACCGTTGGTTCTGCAAGCAGGCAAGGTGCTGACAGCAGCGAGCGCCGTATTCATCTTTCTCAGTCTGGTCGCTTCGCTGGGACCTGGTCCCGCAACATCGGGATCTCCACGTGGAGTTCGAAGAACAGGAGTCAAGGCTCCATTATGCGATCCTTTTTCTCTGCCTGGGTACCTGGCTCGGCTGGGTCCTAGCTTGGCGGCGCCCAACGGACTGGCCACGTGGAGAACATTCGATCCGGCCTGCTCTGCCTCTCCCTTGTTGCCCAGCTTCCTGAGCAGCCTACCCTCCACAGCTCCTCATCATCTGCACACCCCGAGCGCATCAAGCCTGGCGATGCTCAGCAACTCGACGGTACTGCTGGTGGGCGATGCGACAGACTCGACATTGTTGACACATCTGTGCGACATTGCTGGTGAAAGAGTGGAGAAGGTGGATGGAAGACATCCGTGGAGCGAAGCGCTCAGGCTTGTACCCAAGAATCATCGTTGGC